TGTCATGCCCGTATTATAGAAAGATTCTTAGTGATTGATCTAGTCTTGAGCATAGTTAGAAAGGGATGTCACTATATATAGCACATAGCGACATCCCTTTCTAACTGTACTCAAGTAAAGATCAACACTTAGTTGTCATTTTGTAAAACGGCCCTAAGAGAGGTAGGGCATAGCTGTACCCCTAGTACGAACCATTATCGAATTGGAATAGTTTGCAAACCGAAATTTAAATGTCAAATTTTGTATATAAACTTGAACGGTAGCGGCATAAAGTACGAAACGAGAACTAAAAATCATTACACATTTGACAATGACATTTCGGTTTGCAAACTATTCGAATTCGATATTGGTTCGTGCTAGGGGTACAGATTTTCCGTTCGATTAAGAGTTCCGTCTGGGTAAGTAACCTCCACCTTACAGAAGTATTAAGAATATGTGATTTAATACTTGGCATTATAGTATTTGAATCCCTTTGCCTTTTGTAATCTATGTTATTAAAAAAAAAGGTATTTTCTTTCTGGTTTTTGCTGTACCTAAAAATGGTGTGTTGTGCTTTATAGTAAAACAGTTGTAATGATAACTTAAAGGAAAATAAAGTATTTAAAGAAGAAAAGCCGCATTTAATATTATTTGCCATTATCCCAACAAGAAGATGACAGTAAAATAACACTACCTTCGTGAGTAAGGTTCCAGAGCTCCACAGGGTAGAGGATTTGGTCAGGGTAGCCAACGACGCCAGTGTTATGTCTAGTATCCCAAGCGTCTATAAGCATTTTGTTTGGCGTTCGGACGTCATTAGGCGCTGGCTGAAAATCAGCGCTGCTGTGGTATCGCGAAAGTACAACCACAGTAGCATAGCTGAGACAGCGACCTGTTGGCCCTGCACAGCAACACCAGCAGATTAGTTTAGTTGTTTTTGTTTATTATTATTTGTTTTTTTCTTTGTTGTTAAGTTTGTTACGAGTACAAAACTCGTCTACGTCACGCGTACATTATGTGTTTCCCAAGTGCAGGTGGCTCGATTGAGCAATCGTGTTGAAAAGTGCTTATTAGACAGATTTAGTTCATGTAAAACCTTCGGACAGTTTTGGGAGTTGCTTGAGCTTCAATCGTGGAAGCATCTTGCCGTATAGTTTGTAAGACCGGATCATCGGGATCAATTAATATAAATTATTTTGTATAACATTTAAATAAATAAAGTAATAATTTAAAGTTTAGTTTTTAAAAACCCTACCTGACGGCTCAATTCCGTAATTAGTTCTTTAAATTCTGTTTTTGTTTTCAGTGTATGTATGCTGTGCAACCAATAAATGTTTTTCTTTCTTTCTTTCTATGGTGGCCGCTTACCACGGAGGCGGGCCATACAACTGTTTCCCTCCCTTTTAACATAAAAAAGACTTGCTTTTGTCTGTGACTTGGTCGAAAAAATTTGGGGTAAAATGTTCACCATCTAAAGCAATATAGAGGTATTTATATAGTTAATTACATTTTTATCTATATTAGTTATAATTATAGGAGCTCGATGGCGCAAATGGTTCGTGCGTTCGGCTGCGATCGTTGAAGTTAAGTACCTTTCGCAGTGGTCGGTCATTGGATGGGTGACCAAAAATTTACTATCTCGAGCTCCTCCGTGCTTCGGAAGGCACGTTAAGCCGTTGGTCCCGGCTGCATTTGCAGTCGTTAGCACCCACCAACCCGCACAGGGCCCGCGTGGTGGGTCATGGCCCAATCTCCCTATTCCATCCATAGGCTGATGATGATGATTAGTTATAACGTTATATGAGACTCAACGATATCATTGTGAATATGTATTAACGAATAAATAGTTACACTTGAACGTTCGATGTTCCGACCGGAAAACCCCAGCCAATTGCTCGAATGATTGAGTTTATGCAAAAAACAAATACCTACCTATAATAAAATTGAGGTACGGAAATCGGATTTGGCGGCTCGGGAGCGACGACCGGGGAACGTACCCGACATTATTATCTTTTGTGTACAGCGTAACGCCATTTTGATGGTTCATAATAAAATATGTAAATGTTATCGACGTGAACGGATTGCGAGCTCAAGACGAAAAGAAACGGGGGTCACGTTGATTTTGGAAATCACTAGTGCTGTTTATTCGTTTTGTCATGACTTAGTCCATATAGTGTCAGCGTGAGCGCTTAGGAAGTTTTAACTCTCATCTCGAAGTCCTGAAATACGAGTTAGCTGACTATGAAAATCCGGGATGTCCCGAAACGTCGAATCTAAATTTCTTAAAATATTATCAGAATCAACTTAGTTTTGGCCAAAATTATAACAATAATTAATAAAATTAAATCATAGTTATAATTTTTATTATTTTAAAGCATGTTACTGCTTGATGTTTAAATCTAAAGAAAATATAACTAGAAAAAAATCCACGCGGACCAGGCAGCAGACGGGACTCGAACCCGCACCCTTTGCAATCCAGGCGAATGCACTGACCAATTATGCTACCGCGGCCCTCACGGACCGCGTCGAAGTTCTTCTAGCCATTCTTAAGCTGCAAGGCAGCGCCATCTCTTCGCATTATAGGTAACCCACATAAATCATAGTGTTTCAAAGATGAAGAATCACTACCACCCCGTTATATTAGTAGAAATATTGAAATGATTTGTGATGGTGTGTAATCCATTGCAAAATGGCTTTAAGTTTTCGAACGGATTCTATGAATATATTGTGGCGAACTGAGAATATTACCGAGAGAAGATGATGGAGTGATGTGTTTGTTTATTATGTAAAATAATGCTGGAATTTTACATCAATATAGGTCTTGCTTCAAATATTACTTAGGGGTAAAAAAGGGCAAGCTTCACGTTGTGTTCTGTCCTTTCGTAATCTTATATAAAAAACTCAAAGGTGACTGACTGACATAGTGATCTATCAATGCACAGCCCAAACCACTGGACGGATCGGGCTGAAATTTGGCATGCAGGTGATGTTATGAGGTAGGCATCCGCTAAGAAAGGACTTTGATCAATTCTACCCCCAAGAGGATAAAATAGGGAATGAAAGTTTGTCTGAAACTTTGTCAATTTTAAAGCGATCGGGCTGAGACTTTGCATGCAGGTATAAGAAGAATCATAGATGAATGGCATTGTGTATAATACAAGCCTGAGAACAAAACCTGTAGTCTACACTTCAGATCTACACCGAAGCGAAGCGAGGGCGGGCAGCTAGTAATTATATAAAGAAATTCATTGTGTATAATACAAGCCTAAGAACAAAAACTATTGTCTACCTACACTAATACAGCTCTACACCGAAGCGAAGCGAGGGCGGGCTTTTCATATAACTATTAGGAATATATAATTGACTCGGGTAAAAAACGCATCTCGGAACAGGGAGGTTAATGAAGTAAAAACACATTTTCAGCAAGCGTAATACTTCGTCTCGACACGAGAAAATTTATTTTACGACAAGCCCCGGGACTTCAGGACATGAACGTTCCGGGACCCCAAACTGCAGCTGAAAAGCTATTCTTGTAGTGTTATTTAACTTTCTGTATTAATAAAATGCCACAATTTCGTATGAATATAAATTCCGAATAAATCCAATATATCCATTTTTATAGCAAGGAACTAGTGTATGATTAATCAGACTACTATTCAAGTATAAAAAATAAATGTGAAGGAAATTTCGATAGCTTAAAAGGAGAGAAAAAATTAGCAGTGCTCAATCCAGTACTAACATACATATATAGTGTGCAAAAAAAGAAAAGACGGACGGACGGATCCGATGCTCCATGCGTGAAAATTTGACAGTAAAACACTGCTGTTGTAATATTACATGATCAAATCTCAAAAAGCCTGTGAGCTATTAAAGTAAATAAAACACCGAAATCTGTGGCAAAGGTTGTCTATTTCATAATATTATTGAACTTAAATGTATTCAAAAAACAAACTAAACACCGTGATTCAGAACTTGCATAGAAAAATATTAAACATAACAGTAACGCTATCTATCGATGACTTTGATAATTAAATATTATTACTACAAACTTAACATTACACAAGACACGAATGGTTAATTTCCCAAAATTTACGACCCTATCAAAGTCGCGTGATTAAAATTTTGGATGGAGGTGGATTTGCTTTGTGTTATAGATATTTAATTTTGTAGCATAAAATTTTAGGGTCGTTAACTTTGTGATCGTAGGCACAGTTCATGTTAAGTAAAAATTAATGGGCTGATGCTCATTAATGTCAATTTCAATGCTGAGATTTATTTATTTTCCGGAATAATTCGAAAAATTCGTCAAGCATTTGAGGTAGATTATTAGAGGAGTCGCCTAGTACCAATGTGCCATTTTCGGGGACATAGGATTCGTAATGTTTTCGGGAACATTCCCAAAACTACATGATCTTTTGTGACTGATGATTTTTCATCAACTTCAAATGTTCGAAGAATTTTTCGCATATTACTGGAAAAAATTGGATTATTCTTGTACCTTTACAACGGATTAGATTCAACTTGTTCAGATGTAAATTTCAATTTTCCGCTCCATTGCGCTCCTCGCCGCTTTGTTATTCTTTACGGTAAAGTAAAGTAAAAAGGAAGGGTTTATCTTTTAAGTACTATATTCTTGTATTTATATTTTTTAAGCATTAAACTGCTAGATGTTTAAGTATAAAGAAAATATTACAAGAAAATACTCTACGTGGAACAGGCAGCAGACGGGATGGTTGTTCAAAGACAGAAGTTAAACTAATTTATCCAAGAGTAAATCATTTTCTTTGTGGTTTTATACTTACCTTATACTACTATATTCCCTTCCTCTCGGATCTCCGTAGTGAGCAGACGTGTCCGCAGTGTTTACCCAAAAAGTTAAATTATAACAACAAATAAAACGAGAAAATAACATTCAAACTAAAATCCCTCCTTTACACGCGTTATTATAATCAGTGATAGCCACGCCTTTTGCATTGCGACAGCCGTATCTGAGTGTTTTTTATCCTACTCACACGCACGAGATGTCGACGCAGCGCACCCCACCACAGAACATTTCTACGCTGACAAGGTCCGAGTCAGAGCGGAGCATCAGTGCAGCGATGAGTGATGGCGCGACGGATGCATTGAAAGTTACGCATAGGTACAAGCGGTTCCGGTATGAGGATGAGCCCCGACCAGATGTAATGACCGAAATGCGTGAACTATTCAATGAACTCAAGGAGGATCAAAATAAAAGGTTTGAGGTGCTTCAGGCCACGGTGTCCACTATTTCCACACAAAACAAGGAAATAAGTGCATCTGCTATTTTAATATCACAACAGTACGACGATATGAAGATAAAACTCGACAACTTAGAAAAGGAAAGAAAATGTCACCTTGCGTATATACAAACCCTTGAACAACGAATTGACTATTTGGAAAACCAAAACAGATCGTCGTGTGTTGAGTTCCGTAATATACCATTAAAAAAAAGACGAAACAAAGTGTAATTTAGCTGAAATAGTGGTTAATGCTGGGGAGCTGGTAGGTCTCAAAATGTCACAGTCAGATATTCGTGATACTTATCGTGTGTTTTCTAAATCGGCCCAAAGACCGATAGTTGTAAAGTTTGCTAGTGTAATCACAAAGGAAAAATTTCTTAGTTCAGTAAAAGAACACATCTTGAAAATAAAAATTTGGTTTCTACGGACCTCGGCATCGATGGGCCGGAGAAACCTGTATATGTGTCTGAGTGCTTATCAAATAAAATAAAGAGGCTTTTATACTTAGCAAGGGGTTTTGCAAAGTCTAACGATTATCGTTACTGTTGGTCAGCTCATGGGAAAGTTTATTTAAGAAAAATGGAAGGTAACCCTTTAATTCGCATTGAATGTGAGGCAGACTTAGCAAAAATAAGAGAGGAATGACTATTTTCTGTATCAAATTTTAAAAAATATTTAATTTTGCATGTACCTACCCTTGGTTTTTGTATTGCTATTTATTTAAATAATTATTTATATTTGATTTTTTACATAATGATTCGATGCACACACCGTTATAACTTTATTTTAAATAAGCTATTGTTACTGAAAATATATAGAATTATAATAAATATGAGTGGCAATGCGTGTTTTATGGCAAGTGTGGAGGTATATACTTGTATTTACAAATTCCCTGGAGTTATTTTAATTCAGATAATTATAAAAACATACTTTTGTCTACATTGTAATGGAGATTACATTTATTTCAAAATTGAGTTACAAGTACAGGGTCATTCGATTGGTACTAATTATAAATGGATTCTTTAAGACAAACATTATATGATCTGGACAGTTTTAGTGTTTCTTAGTCGTTTGTAGTTTCTGCTGATCAGTGTTCTATGTATGTAGACACAAATTTAGACAATTTAACCTTATTTCATGTAAATATCCGAAGTGTACTACGAAACTTTGATGAACTTTGTGTACTATTAAATAGAATAAAAATAAAATGCGACGTTATTATCTTGACAGAATGTTGGCTCAGTAAAACGCACACCATACCAGAGATTGATGGGTACACTTCCTATGGGTCTACGTATAGAAATCAAAATGAAGGGGTAATAATATATGCTAAAAAAGAATTAAATTGTAAAATTAGTGCCCCAAATTTTAATTTTAAGGACGGAAACTGTTTAATATTGACCTGGGGAACAGAGTTAGCTGTTGTTGCAATTTACCGTTCTCCCTCCTACAACCCTAACAGTAACTTTTTTGTCTGTCTCGATGAAACCCTTGAAAATCTTACTATGTACAAAAACTTAGTGTTAATAGGTGACATAAATATTAATATTACACCAGAAAATACTGACCCCCACTCGGAGCAGTATTTAAATCAGACCGCAGCCCGAGGCATTTTACCTGCTCATTTATTCCCCACACGGGAAAGTAGGTGTCTAGATCATGTCTTAATGAGAACAAAATGGAATGCCACCACATTGGTCTTGAACTCACTAATCACCGATCACTCACCTTTATTAGTTAGTTTTTCAAACAAAAGATGTTTAGATAAAAGGATAACTCAAAAAACAAAAATAGACTATAATACAGTTGAAAAAGAATTGAGAACCACTGACTATTCAACAATTTATTCGTCAAATGATGCGAATGCTGCTGCAAATAATTTAGTTAAAATAATATCCCACGCTGTGAAAAATAATACAAAAATTATTTCAATTACAAATAGAAGTAGAGTGCTAAAGCCATGGATGACGACTGGTCTTCTGAGGTGCATAAAAAATCGAGACAAACTGCATATGCAAACTAAAAAGAACCCAGAAAATATGATAATAAGATTAACTTACACACGTTACAGAAATTTTTGCACCAACCTTTTTAAAAAATTAAAAAAACAATACGAACAAGATGAATTTCAGAAGGCCAAGCGAAATCCAAAGCAAACTTGGGAAATAATAAAGAACATAGGTCATATTAACAAATCAAATACCAAAGCAACAGAACTTTTAAATATAACTAGCGAACCGATCACTTCTTTAAACAAAGTAAACAAGTTTTTTGCAAGTATAGGTGCGAATCTTGCAAACAAAATAGTTACTCCTACTACTCCTACTTTTACAATAAACGAGGCGATTTCGGAATGTAGAAACTCAATGGTATTGGGTAAAACCAATGATGCTGAAGTTTTTTCGGTAATTATGGGGTTGCGCTCTGATAGTGCCACAGGTTGGGATGGTATTCCCGCTAAGGTTTTAAAGATGTCAGCGCAGGTCATTGCTTCTCCCCTCAGTCATGTGTGTAACCTGTGTTTTGAAAACGGTGTTTTTCCGAATCAGTTTAAAATTGGTCTTGTACACCCAATACATAAGAGCGGTGATAAAGATGATATAAACAACTACAGACCGATTTCTGTATTGTCAACTCTTTCTAAAGTTTTGGAAAAAATAATAAATAATAGACTGCTTAATTTTTTGGACAAATATAATATTATAGCTTCTAACCAATTTGGATTTCAGAAAGGCAAATCAACAGAGGATGCTGTTTTGGACCTTTGTAACTCAGCAATTGACAGTATAGATAAAAAACATAAAGTTATAGGCATATTTCTCGATATAAAAAAAGCTTTCGATACAGTATCAGTAAAAATTCTATTAGATAGTCTAAATCGCATTGGTATACGCGGTCATGTCCTCGAAATTTTTAAAAATTATTTAAGTAACCGAACTCAGAGGGTAAAAATAGATATACATACAAGTGACGAGGAACACGTAACTTTTGGCGTTCCGCAGGGTAGTGTCTTAGGACCAACACTCTTCTTAATTTATGTAAACTTAAGATAGACAACTGTAAAGTAGTCACTTATGCAGATGATACTGCACTAATAGTGAAAGGTGTTTCCTGGAAAGATGCCCAAATAAATGCAGAAAATGCTCTTAGACAGGTGACGAGTTGGCTATCATGTAATCTATTAACCCTTAACACAGACAAAACAAAGTTTATTACTTTCTCAAGCACGACGAGAGCGCAGCCAAATAATTTCTGTATAAAGGCACATACTTGCTCCAACGCAAAAAATTGTAACTGCTGTGTTTTGGAAAAAACGCCTCACATAAGATATTTGGGTATTCAAATCGACAGTTGTTTTTCCTGGAAACCACATGTTGATAGTCTAACCACAAAAATAAGGAAGCTCCTGTTTGTTTTCAGAAAACTTAGAACTTCAGCGAACCTCAAAACTTTAAAGCTAGTTTATTATTCTTTAGTCCAGTCACTCATATCATACTGTAATTTAGCTTGGGGTGGAACTTGCAAAACAACATTAATAAAAGTAGAAAGAGCCCAAAGAGCTGTTATTAAAACAATATTAAAAAAGAAAATCATTTATCCTACAGAAGCTATTTATAAGGAATTTCAAGTTTTAACGGTTCGACAGCTATTTATTTTAGATGTCGTACTTCGAAAACATTCCGAAACCCCATATCACGAAGAAGAAAATAGATACAGGAGACGAGTTCATATTTGCAATACTGTACCGCAACGAACTAGTCTTGCTCGACGTAGTTACATAGCACTAAGCACTCAATTATATAACAAACTAAATAAAGTTCTGAAAATTTTCCAATTCACAGTATTCAAATGTAAGGCAGTGATAACCAGTTGGTTACTGGGACTTAATTATGATGAGACGGAAAAATTGTTGATTGCAACGGCTTAGGAAGTTAAACATAAAAATGAACTAGGTATGTTGTTTATAATGTTAGTTAATTTATTAAGTATGTTTAATTAATATATAAAAGTAGTAAGAATAATAAATAATGTATGAAATGATTTATTATTTATTTGTAAAATGATTAATTTAAAGCACGTAAATCGCACTTACTTTGGTATTATAATTTAGTAATGCAAATTTTTAGCAAAACAAAAAATCTAATCTATTGTTATTTTGGCGTTATGATTATTTAAAAGATTATATTCTGCTTGCATGACATTATTAAATGTACTATTTATTTATGGGAAGTAGCTGGTACCTGCCATACAGTTTATACTAGTGCAGATACCAACGCTCCAATGAAATGTAATTGTTGTCTAAGTAAAAAATATAAATTTAAATTTATATATAATGTACAACACGTGAAATGAAATGAATAAATTATTATTATTATTATATTATATATACTTATATTATATTTACCTACAATGCGAAGAGATGGAGCTGCCTTGTAGCCTAAGAAATGCTAGAGAAAATTCGACACTGCCACTAGGGCCGCGGTAGCATATTGTTCGTTGCGCGGATGCGAAGGGTGCGGGTTCGAGTCTCGTCTGCTGCCTGGTCCGCGAATTAAACAAGGTACTTAATGTTTTCGATATTTTTTAATACTACGTACGCTATACATTAAATAATCTCGCATGCTAACTCGATCACTTCTTGCAAATATTAATATGAGAGAGAGAGAGAAAAAAAAAACTATATTGACCGTTGATAATACTAACATACAAACTTTTAAAAGAAAAACTAAAAAAGTATGAACATGCAAAGAATAAAATTAACGGCCTTGATGGTTCATTAGGACCCTGCCTCAGCATAATGCTGCTCAACACGTCAGCAAACGTTGGTATTCTGGTAGGGCCTGTAATGCCGTCTTTACAGGAACTCCGTGGCCGAGTGGTTTGTACGTCCTGTTTCAAGGTGTCCAGAGGTCCCGTGTTCGAATCTCGCCGGGGACAGAGGTTTGTGACCACACAATACGAGCATTTGTACACCACTCGTGGACTTTAATATGTATTTCTATATAAACATACTTTTATATGTAACAGTACATGTATTCTGTCCTTTACCCTAGTATTCCATAACACAAACCTACAGTGTTTACTTTGGGGCTAGGCTAATTGGTTGTGTTATATAAAAAAAACCGGAACTTACACGACAACCCACAATTTAGTTATTCAACGTCGCTAAATTCAGTGTTATTCAGGAATATTTATATTATGTATATTGCCAGCCAATTGCCTACAAT